ACATAGGCAGACACACACACATACACATAGGCAGACACACACACACATACACATAGGCAGACACACACACATAGGCAGACACACACACATAGGCAGACACACACACATACACATAGGCAGACACACACACACATAGGCAGACACACACACAGAAACATTAGTTTTGTTAAAAGGAAGGTGAACTTAAGAACCCCTTCCAGATATTGTTATCAAGAATGCTGGTGTCTCACAGAGATGATAGTAAATACTTTTCCTGCTTCTCACCCCAGCAGGCTGTGAATGCCACGGTGGGTGGGTGTAATCCCCTCTCTTTTCAGGAGGGGCCTCAGCCCAAGCCAATAGGCTGTGTTAGTCTTGAGCATCTCAGGACTTCTGGAAAGACAAGATCATCCAATCTTTTATAGATGGGGCTCTTCTCAGAGGACTCAAGCCTTTTCAGCTCTACAGGAAGAGGCATTGTCCAGCCCAGCCCTGGGTGGAAGTAGCCAGCCCCTACCCTCGGAGAAGCAGCTCCTGCTGAAAGGAGCTGCTTACAGCCACCTGAATGGCTAGAGATGAAGTCCTGTGCCCTTCCCCACACAGCTTATCCCACACTGGTCACTAGTAACTGGGATATACCAGCCCTGCCACTGACTGTAGCCAAACTTCAGAGGGAGTAGTGTGGCCCCTTGCTATGTACCCTGCACAGAGGCTCCAAGCTCAACCGTCTAGTCGTCAACAAGCGGTATCAGAAGCCAACTGGATATCTGTAAGGGCTGAAAACTTAGGAGACCTCCCGTCGATGGGCCTGGGCCACAGCAAGAATTGTCCATGCTTTTTCCATAACACAAGTTTATTTGGCATTGGATGAAATGGTTCTCACAGCATCTTAAGAAAGGATCAATGCCAACCCGACCAAAAATACACCCAAACTAAAACCTTTAATGAAAGGAATATGTAAAATCAGGCATTGAGACAACGTACAGTATCAAATTCCACTTCAAGGCAGGTCAGAGGGTACCTGCCTCAGAAGAGTGGCAAGGCAGGCCTGGGAAAGGGGCCTCCTAGGAGCCTGTCCCTCTGGGGACTTGTGGGATGGGCAAGGAAACACAAACCTCAGCAAATCCTGGATTTGGGATTATTCATCAGTAGGAGCTGGCCAACCCCAGTACTTGGAACTGGAACAGCAATAGTCCAAACAGCCCCAAACATAGGCCTTCCATGCACCCTGAAGACACAGGGGACAGAGCCTGCAGTCCTGACAGGCCTGCCTCTGCAGCACCAGTTCACTTTAGGTCACCCTCTCCACCTGGGCCTCCTAGTCTCAACCCCAACAGCCATTTGGTCCCCAGTTGTTCCCGTCTGTACAGTCTTCTGAGGCACTGGTGTGTGGTCCTTAGGGCTCTTTTGAGTGGCCTGGCACCAATCCGATTGCCAACTGTTGCTCTAGAGCATGGCTGCCCAGTGCCCAGCATTTAGTACCTGCTGGAGGCATGATGAACGTCCTGCTGTTCTCAGCAATGGGTGTAGGGGGCAGGAGCCCTCTGGCAGAGGGATGTGTGCAGCAGCTGTCTGTGGGCTCAGACACAGGGCGCAGACTATCCGTGAGCAATCATGTACCCCGCCAGCCCTGGGATCTGGTCTGAAGATGCTCCGTACGGGAAGGGGAACAGGTTTCTAAGTAGTGTAAGGCTGCACCTCGACTGTGTGGGTCTGGTCAAGCACAGCACAACAGAGGCCAGTCACCTCCACTCCTGTTCTTACCTGCACAGGAGCCACAGCCTAGAAGAAGCTCAGACACAGGTGCAGGAGCGGCCCATGGGCAAATGGCTCATGTGGGGTATTGGCCCCTGTCCTGAGCTCCTGTGAACTGTTATCACCTGCAAACATTTGGCCACTTGAGGACACACAGGATACAGAAAGACCCAGACATCCAACGTAGAAAAGACACGAATGTGCTAAAAATTGCACAGAACCTTGCCTAATCTCCAAACCTTAGAAATGCTAAGGGCCTGTGTCAAGAGACAAGACAAGACCACTGCATGGAGCTGGAGCTGGCAAACAAGGTCCTTAGGACAGAATCCCCAGGTACCCCGCTGCTGTGGAGGGACTGGGAAGCATGTATGTGGCTGGCAGACTCCGGGTTCCAGCAGTGTCCATGGTGTGAAGTGGACTCAGATGACACAACTCAGGATGTCCACTTGAACCATTCTCTTCTCAAACAAACAACCCTTTATGGCACAGATAAGGTGAACGGGCATGGCTAGACCCAGCAAGCAGAGCACAGGGATCCAGAGTGTGGCAGAGAAAAGCCAGCATGCCCCAACCCTGCACAGGGGTCTAGAGTCTATTCCTGGGGAGCCATGCTCCTGGGGAGCCATGCAGAGGTACACCACGGAAGCGTGCTAGGAATGAGCAGGGCCTCCTGCCACAGTGCTGGCCTCAAAGCAAGGCTGGAAATGGTGTGGCAAGTTCAATTTCTTCCCGGAATCGGCACCTTGAAATGTGCAGTTGGGCCCAGACAGGAAGCCAGTGCAGGAGCTGTGAATGCTTTCCCGGAAGCAGTCCAGATGCTTGGCTGCCTCTAAGCAGCCACTAGTGCTAAGTTCTACTGTGTCTACACTGGCTGATGACTGGCTTTTAAGGGTGAGAGCGCAGTAAGCAAGCCTATCCAAAGACACATTTGGTGTGAGTGAAGCCCACTGCCTCTGCTGTCTCGGAAACGTGTGGTTTCAACACCTGTGTCACTCCACCATTTAAAAAAGAGACTTAGCAGCCCCCAGGTAAAGATGGCACAGGCACTTGCACTCTGAGTGCCTGGCTTCAGTTTCTATGGACACACCCGCTGCTGGTGGGGCTGTGGCAGTGGAGTAGGTCCAGGCTATGACAGGACCCCTTCAAGTCCCCCACTGAGATACGTGTCTTCTGAACAGGAAACATACACTCCTAGCCCACAGGGGCCACAGGCTGAGCCACCTAAACCACAGTATTGAGGGAACCACGGGGGAGGCGCCCGCCCCCTGGTGGTGCTTCTGGAGCTGGGGTGTTTCCACTCTGGGCAGGATCAGGAGGCACCAGTAGGGCACTGCTACTGTCTGTAGAGTCTTCCAGATCTGCTAAGGAGGTCTCTGCAGGGGGCAGCGGCTGGTCCAAGTGCCTGGGCAATGCACCTTCAATGCTACCATCCCTTGGGGTTGGCAGGCTGGCCTCCACAGGCTCAAAGGCATCGTCATCTGCAGGGGAACAAAAGGATGTCAGATACAAGTGAAGGCCTGGGTGGAACTAGGATTCTTGTCCTAAACATGCCTGACTTCTGAATGCTCAACAGGACCCAGGGGAGCTCCTTGTTTCATGTTCTGGCAGACAAAAGCTCATCTTGCCACCAGTTTATGGAAGGTGAAATGCAGTGACCAACTGTCAGAACAAAGGGAGAGCAGAGGGAAACACTGACTCAGTAGGAACATAATACCCAGGGCTGCAGCAGACCAAGAGCAAAGCGGGTGGGTGGGAGTGGGCAGCCATGAGAACTACTGTGTCAGCAG